AGAAGAAGAAGAAGAAGAAGAAGAAGAAGAAGAAGAAGAAGAAGAAGAAGAAGGAGAAGAAGAAGAAGAAGAAGAAGAAGAAGAAGAGATTTTTGCCGCATTTTGAATATTTAAAAATCTTCATTTAAACCCGACTGTGTGTGCAGCTTGAGGGCTCATCTCTTGTTTTCAGCAGAAGAAGAATATGATTATTCATGAAGCCTCATAATGACGTGCCTCCCACTTTGACCGACTGCTGCTCACTAAATGGGTCTGCAATGAGCGAGGCTTTCCCATGCCGAAGATAAAGACTTGATAAACATGAAATCTCAGATCTAATTGATTATTTGAATGACATTTTAGTTCGCGTTTTCTGTTAACATTTACGTGTTTAATCGATTGTTCGGAAATGTTTGAAAATCACGTTTTCAAAGACTTTCTTAGCCGAGGTTGACCAAAATAACAAGATTTCGGAAAAGTGTGTGTGGCGTCTTTTATGTAATTAGATGTCCAGTCTATGCTTTCGTGTGCTACTGTTTTTGCTTTTATTTCAGGTTGTTCTATTCTGATATCACTTACAGTTCCATTTTTCACCCTTCCAAATTACCTATCCGAAAGTAAAGTAAGGAAAATAAGTGCATTTGTACACGAAAGGGTATGTTTTCAACCTCCCTTTTAACAGTTATTACAATGTCTAACAAATGCAAGGACAAAATAAAACGTAAAACGTGTTGCTTGCGTTCGGTCTCTGATACAATGACACTGTCTAATACATTCACCTGCACAAGACAATCCCTTTTCTCCTCGACAATGAGAGGCCGTTTTGGACCATTTGGACTGCATAAACCCAGTTTTGATAGTATAAAATAAAATGATACCTGTGATGGTGAAGATGGAGACGATCATCCCCAAGCTCCTGTCTGCCACCAGAACAGCCTCGTTGGACGTGCTCTTGCTGGTCTTCCGGCCGGCTATCACTCCGATGACCAGGATGGCAACGTAGAACACAACCACGGCCACGATGCCTGGTATGTTGACCGCCATGACGTCAGAGTAATCTGTGTACTTAAAGCGATCTGGAGCTGTGATACTTTACCCTGAGGGGGAGAAGATGGGGACGACGGGTTAGAGGGGGGGTCGTTTTGTTGTTGTTGTTGTTGTTGTTGTTGTTGTTGTTGTTGTTGTTGTTGTTGCTGTTGTTTGTACTGCTGCTGCTGCTACTGTTGCTGTTGCTGTTGTTCTTGTTGGTGGTGGTGTTATTGTTGCTGCTTTTGCTGCAGTTCTTCTTGAATTTGCTGTTGTTGTTGATGTTGTTGATGTTGTTATTGTTGTTGTTATTGTTATTTGTGGTGGCTGTGGTGGCAGTGCTGATGGTTGTAGTGATGGTCGTGGCGATGGTGGTGGTTATGAGGTTGTGATGAGGGTGGTACTAGGGAAGTGGTCGTGGTGGTGTTGCTGCTGCCGCTTCTGCTGCTGTTAATGATGTTGGAGGTGAGGATGGTAATTGTGGTAGTTGTGGTTGTGCTGCTTCTGCTGCTACTGCTACTGTGCCGATGTCCGTGTACTCGTTATTTTATTCGTGTTGAGGTGTAGTCATCATCTTTTTTATGGTAGATCAGCAGGAGTTCAAAAACAGTAACACTTTATCGTATCAAAATTTGAACCAGAACAAGTCTTTATTTATGAATTAAAGATACTTTTTGACCTGCAAGGTATCTTTTCAGTCCGTCATTTTCATTGTAAGATAACATTTTTTTTATACCGTTCACGAACGCTCTGTACTTTCTGCCTTGGAAGTGGCTGTTAACAAAAGATTATGCGCAGAAATATGAGTCAGAAATACCACCTAAATAATATTCCTGTGTAGCGTGTCGAAGCTCCCTTGTTTGCATACATGAACTTAAACTGCCTGCAGCATTCGTTTTGCTTGTATTTGCTTTGCTTGTCTTTATTTGAAAGGGGGAGGGGGAATGTTGGGTTGTTTTGTTGTGTTTTTGTTTTTTTGTTTTTTGTTGGTTTTTGGGTGGGTTTGGGGGGTGGGTTGGGTG